TCAACAGTGACAGCTTACTTGTGTAACGAACAGTTCGAAAAAGAATGTCTTATAAAAGCCATCATTACTATTCTTCCTGATGCCATTCACTATGACCACTAGCATTCGAATATAGAATATCACTGCCGCTGAGCCAAACAGCAGCGCCAACAAATCAAACACATTCGAAAACATTGTGATTTAGCTGAATCTGAAGTTTGAATAACTCGAAAAATTATTTACAATGAAACAAATCGCACGAAACGTTTCGATGCGACCGATTCAATTATAAAGAATTTTCAACGTTATTCTCATTTGACTACAACAAATTAAGAGATTTTTTAAAATTTCTTTCACTTTCGCCATTCTGAACATCAATTCTTCACTTGTGAAGATGATCAATATGAAGTAAACGTTAGCAGTGAACTATCTAAGAAATCCTACTGTTGGAGATTTGGAACTGTTTGAAGTGATTTGCTTGTAATGAGAGAACCCCAGGTCGGTTAATTGATTAATTATTCATAAGATTATTGTTAATAATGACCCAGTTAATGGCCATAATGATACTAGAGCATTATTAGAACGCTTGCATTTTCGACATCACTGATCAGACTTACTAATTCTGAGAGCAGTATGGAAACGAATGCAAAATCTCCAACATCCAACCCATACTGATGGTAACCACTAATTCATCAATGATTGTTCCTCAAGTTCTGGCAAACTGCTCTTTGTTCAAGTCCACCACAACCACTCTCAGCAACACTCTTGGGCGGAAAAGCTTGATCGAATATGGCTGAGATCATTATGCTGATCACTTGCGATCAACAATGAGAATTTAAGATCAAGTGAATTAATTTCATCAAATGATGCGGACGGAACAATGGCTCACTTATTGACTTGAAGTCAACATGCACGTATAAGAATACTACAATTGAACAAGCAACATTGAGGAAGTGAACTGTGAACGAAACTGCAACTAATGGAATTGTTTGTTGTGACCAGTTGATCGACAATCAGACTTCAAGTTTACGCAAACAAACTGCAGCCATAAAAGCAGTTGCATTTTGCAGAATGTGCTTCAGTTGCGCGTGCTTCCGCGAACCTTGTTACGATATTTTTAAGTCACTAAAAGGCTGCTGCTGCTGGCTGATTGAGATGATCTCAAATATTGTTTCCTAACATGTGCACTTTCGTTTGCATCCTGTCGCATGCTCCTCGTATTTAGGCTTATCTATTATCTATATATCTAGGCTTATCTATTTTAGATTTTCGGAAATAATACGGTATTTTCAGTTATCTCTTGCAGTGTGCACAAACAAAGGAAACTGGGGTAAGATTGAATGTCATAAGGCATCATAAGAGAACTAGATCAAGTCAAAAATCACTGCATATCATAAGTTCCAAAGTATCAGGTGAAAGCCATTCATTCAGCGACAGCACTTAATGAATGTGTTGCAATTAGCTAGCGATAAGTGCTCATTAATATTTCAAAATTTCATGAGTCATTTACCACTGTAATAATGCTCTTTTGATTACATGTAAATTGTATTGTGTAAATTGTATTGAGTGTAAATTGTATTGAGTACAATAAGTGAGCAAACTTCATTATTTGTCATGTCATTTTTCATGAATATTTTATGAACTGATCGTTTCTCGGAATAAACATAACGAGACTTTCGCACGAGCATGAAAACGCCTATAAATTTTCTGTTAACAATTTTCAATAGATTCCCTAGTGAAATTTATAGGAGTCTGTTAATTTTACACAATCTCTATTAAAACTGTTCCTGTATTGGTTCGTCATCTGAGTGCAAAAGCTTATCATTTCAGATGCTACTAGGAATTTCCATTCAGACCGAGGCAAATCAAAAAACGCAACCATTTTATTGAGAACATTTAATCGTAGAATATCTCTTATCAAATCGAAACAACAGAAGATCAAAATGAAATAATCACAAAATGAGGTCAAACACAATGAGATACATTATTTATGTATGAAATCATTTCCGCAATGGAGTGATGAAGTAAAGTGACCAATTCGCATTGCATATGTTCCATGAGCTATTCACTAATTATTATCGACAATGATACTATCTTAAAAATGATAACCGGCTGATAATATTGACAATAATCTTAACAATATCAATCACTATACCATATCACATACTCGACTTTCGTTTCACATCAGTTAAACAGAAACATCGAGACGTTTTCCTCTAAAGAATTTTCAGATCGTTATAGGAGAAATCCAATTAAAATACTGTTGATATTTCTGAGATTGTGACGATGATTATAATCAGAAACATTTTGTGAAATGAAACAATTAATTGAAGAACAATTTGCTATAATTTGGCACTGAAGGTGACAGTGGAATAATAGACTGAAATAATCTGATCACAACCCAACAAAACAATCAGAGAAGCAGATCATATGGCATGATTGGTAATATGACTTTAGTTTCAGTTGTTGCGGTCGGTGGACTGTTCTCCGACCACACCGCGTAGCCTTGCTCAACAAGACGCGCTTCCAGTGTTTCTGAGGATTGCGTTCCATCGAACACCTTAAATACTGATGCTTTATGAATGCACCTCATACCTGACTGAAATGAAACTGTCGATTGAAATTTTTTGCAGCAATAATATTTTTTGAGCAGTATCATTAACAGTCTTAATTAGTAATTTTATGACTCTGTTGAAAATTCGAAAACTAATCACAAAGTGTGAATCTTTTTTCTTTCAATTGACCAATTTATTTACATTTACCGAAATTTTATTGCGATTATATTGAACACTTGGACTGTTTGTCGCAATTAAAATTATTGCTTTTAACATCATATTTCTTCCAGTTAACGTAGCTCAAATTTAGGTAAACAACATATTGTTCAAAAACTGTTCACTTTCAATGAAGAAGGGAACTACTTCTAGACTGCAAGTTCTCCGAATGAATCAAACCATCACATTTACGACTAATCGCGATCTCAGCAAAACATTCCATACTTGTGCAATTCAATAGCTCATTACAATCCTAATTGCCGATATCTGATTATATTGCACAAAAGGACACTGCTCACTAACACATGTAAACATGAAGTATCAGATCAAAAAGCATGACATAACGACTTACCTGAATATGACTCACAAAAATAACGTTTGCTCGACGAAACGCAGTTGACTCATATATTAGTCTCGTGTTTTCGGATCGTCTGCAAGGATTTTCTCTTACAAACAACAGTTTCAAAAAGATGACAAAATTAAAACCGTTAACTGCTTCTCATCATCAGCTTCATTACATAGTTCAAAATTCAAAAATCTGGTGCTCATTGAACTTTTGATCCAATAGAACATAGAATATTACCAATAACAATTTGCAATCAATTAACTACTTCTGCACTCAATACTATTCTCTCAGAACTATCCACCTAATGCAATCAACCGCAAAAAGATCACTCACCTATTCAGAATACCGACAACTTTCAGTGATATCGGTACATCGTCTCTCAACTGTCGACTGAAAAAGTGTCGTGCCGCAGGACTCCAATCGTCACCTTGCGACGGTTTTATCCCATGTAAACAAACTTGTAGACAGAGCGGTGCCCGTTCACAATGTCTGAATCACATCAACAAAAATGATCATAAACGTAAACACCGACTACAACTGCAATGGTAACGATAATAACAATGCATCGAATTAAACTCAACAAATTTCCTATCATTTTTTTCATAAATTTATCATTCACCTATCTTTTGAACTAACACATCTAATCAATTACGAATCGCTAACCAACTAAGTTCATAACAATGAATTCCTCGTAGAAAAAA